GTCGTCAACCTAAGTCAAGCAACACGACGTCGTATGTTATTTCGTTTTTAGTTCGAGAGCGGTGGAATGGAGAGAGAGAGAGAGAGAAAGAGGAGATCGACGATGTTAATTCTGTGACGGGGTGAGACAACGGGGTCTAAAACTCTCTTTTTCGTTGGTCGGATACCTTTTGTTACGGGTTTCTTCCGTTGTGTATAGTACTACAAGACACTGTAAAACTTTGGTTTTGATTCCGAGTTTGCACATTCTGAACCTGTGTAAGAGTGAGAGAGAACAAAACATTGTCTTAGGTTTTAAATTTTTTTCATAAATTTTTTTTTTTTTTTTTTTTTTTAGGGGCTAGGGCTAAAAAAACAGAGGGCTCAGGTTAGGACAAAAAAACTTTTTAGGAGCGAGCGCGGACGGCTAGGGGCTAGTCCCACCTAGCCTAGCCTGTAGAGATTAAAGGTGGTGAGGAATGTGGGTGAGCGTTATATAGACTGTAGGAGCCAGAGCGAGAAAACAATGAACTATCTATGTTGACATTTCTAAGGGGAGAAGTGAATAATCGACAAGACACAAAAGTAAATAATGAGCGAAGAACGTAAATAAGGGAAGTCTATAACGGGGAAGGGTGACGTTGATGGGGAACTCTGTTCAAGTTTTACAAAACAAACAACACACGATTTTGAGCGAAGAGAGGCGAGCGCGAGACTGTAGCACTGAGCCTCGCGTTTCGCAGACGGCGGGTCGTCTTCTCTCGGCTAAGACCTTTAGGGACGACTGCCATGTAGCGGAGTCTATTGCGGTGTTGGGAGGTTACGGAAGAAGGACAGTCCGGTGTTAATTTTAGAGTTTTTGATCCATTAATATAACTTTTTTTGAGATATATGGGGCTGGTGTCGGAAGTACAGTTGAAGTATGGTGTTTGTTGATAGGGTAACAGGTGTTCTTTACGTGTTTTGCTTGTTGGTTGTTGTGGGGTTGGCTCCAGCGCGCTAGCAGGTTCGATGTTTTGTCCGAGGCCGTATAAGCCGATGAGTGTACGAATCACAATCTTTCTCGCGGCCGACGTGCGTGTACGCTCGTTCGTTGTACAGTTAGTGGCTGTGGTCACTTCTTGGTCTCGTAGGCTTACGTGGTCGGAGTTGGCGGAGTCTGTATATATAGTTTCGAGAGGTTTTTTGACGTTTTTTTTACCTTTCTATTATATCAGTTTGAACTATCTAAAAATGTTAAATTTAACTGCACTTCAACTCACGTGCGCGTATCCGATTACACAGCTACCGATAGTTTCTCTAAGATTAAAGTCAACATCCTTTTCCCATAGAAATAAAGGGAAGAAAGAAGGATGTTTTTAGGATATCATAATTGTTCTTGAAGCTATATCCATGTTGGATAGAATATCCAATTTAAATAAAAAAATAACCTTAAGGGACAACTTGAATGCTTTTTTTCTTTTTTTTCTCTTAATGCATTGCATAAAGATCGGATCGGGAAAAATCGGTATCGGCAAATTGTCAAAATCAAATGATCGGAATCGGATCGGGAGCAAAAAAAGGTGATCGGGACATCCCTAGTGGGAATATTATAAATTGCACGAGAAGCAACAAGAAAAGCAAGCAAAGGGATAACTCACCAAGCAGCAAAAGGGCTGAAGCGAAAGATGGAAAAAGACAAGTAAAAGGGAGAAAAGAGAGAGAAGAAATTCAGCACGAGGACCAATATTCAGTTAAAACGACACAGAAACTGAATCCAAGTCTCACCCTTTATACTCGTACAGATTGTAAGAGTGTTTCGCAAAGACACACAGTATAAATAATGAAGTGAATGATATTATTCCATCCAATGAATGATTAGCAGAACACAGCTAAAGGTATTAATTCATCCATAAATGGGTTTGATTACTATGGTCTGGAGATAATCAGCTGCTGCAACATGGAGCCAATTAGCACTGGAATCCAAATTCTACAAATAGTATAATAAAAGCTATATTAGTAAAACAATATCTTAACTTGCAACTTTGAAAATATACCAGGTGTTTAGAGAATGAGTTGGCATGTAAAACAGTTGCACAGCATCAGACAGAAGAAAAAAAAAATAGCAATATGAACATAACACCTAAGATTTTGGGAAACTAAGATTGTTACACAAATAAATGGATGCTAATTGATCATGACAATGGTTAGTAGATGTTTCCCTGTAGAGAGTCTCTGAAATAACAGCCATTGAGAAATCTGCTGCCACAGCTGTACAATCTGTAAGCGTCTCGTTATTAACCCCAAACCCTGACTCTTTCTGGACAGCTGTCCTACCTGAACGGACGGGCGTTTTTCTTATTGGCTGCCCGGCTGTCACATGACACACACAGACACAGTGGTAGGCACAAGCACAAGAACACACACACACACACAAAAAGTTGACAGCAGGAGAAACAGCAAAGACATATGATCAACACAAAGATGCGTCCACAGAAACACAGAGGTGAATGTGGCGATGACTGACAAACGAGATGAAATACGGTGCATTAGGTTTTAGTATTGACAAAATAAACACAGCAGGTGAAGAGTCACAACACGACATATAAGCAACGAATAGGACGGATCTCGATTCCCCCTCTTAACCATGAACCCTGAACTCTGAACCTTCAGGGACTTAGCAGCCACTTTGCGACATATGTTACTGTGACAACGCCAAAACATGTTACATCAAAATGTGGGTTTGGGATTTTTTTATTTATTTCACGGCCGAGGCATTTAGGGGATCGGCCAGGGTATACGTTTTTAAATGTTCCACTGCACACTAGATTATTATTTTTTATACAGATGAAGCATGTTTGATTTTGTTTCAATGTTAGCACTGTTTGAACCCTTGTGTTTTAACTTTATTTTCCTTTTTTTGAGTGATTACAGCAGCTATGTGTGGTGATATATGCATAACATATGAATTTCAAATATTGTATTATTTAAGTATTTATTTAAATGAAGTGGTAGGTTAATAAACTAGGTGTATTATATAGCCAATTATTGCATACCACTTATTTAGCATCTTAAACCCTTGTTGATGTAGCTGTTTCTTTGTAAATATAGGAATACCAGCACACCAAAATAGATATGCCACTCCTCTTTGTTTACCTTTTTTTGTAATGCCTCAGGGCTGGCCAATCGTAACCCTGTGTTTCACGTCACCACGCTGTGAACTAGGTGACAGCGGTTTCAGGAGTATCAAATTAAGAGATGTCATAAAATGTGCATTTGCTTATCTTTGGTATTGAAGAAACAAACATACGTGACTGTGTAAGTGAGTTAAAGGTTCAGACACCTTGAGTATGTTAATTATTAGTCCTAGGGCTTTATGGTTAAAGCTCACAGCACGTGAAATTGTTCATTTAGTTGATTTAACATGCTAAAATATGCTTAATGTCTGCGTGGGCGGCCACAAGCATTCCAACATTTGAAAGAGGACGGCCTTACACCTTTTGTACAGTTATGGTTACAGAATCTATCCCCATCATTCACTATATTTTGGTAAATCATCTGTCAAACCAGTGACAAAACATAGGTATTGGTATTGTGATAATATAGTTTTCTCATAAACAATGTTGGGATTATATGGTAGGAAATAAATTAATGTTTAAGAATGAATTCTCAGGCTGCTACCATTGTCATGCATACATTATTTTTCCCTTTTTCCTTGTCCAAAGAGCAGCTTTCTCACCTTCCAGTAAACAGCCTGTCTGACTAGTTTTTCCAGAGATCAGACTGGACCTCAGTGTCATCAGGAAGCACTACATAGTTAAGCAAGGGATTGAGATGTATCCCTAGAGTGTAGCGGATTTGGGGCTCGTACCTGTCCAGCGTGGAGGTGGGTTGGCGGAGACTCATGTCTGTAGCCTTGTGACACTCCTCTGCTTCCTGGTGGGCTATCAACACTGTCACTGGGCCTCTTTTATCATCATCCCCATCATCGTCTCTTTCCTCTTCAGTTTTCAGTCCACACAATGGGTCTCTCTGTTGATCAGATCTTCAACTGGGAAGCTGGTTCAGATCAAACAGAGTGTTCCTCATGTTCCCATTCACTCCCAGTGGGTTCAATGTGTCAGTAGGACTTTAAACAAAAATGCTGCTAAAACTAAAATGTCCTCAGCTTCACTAGGTCACATTAGTGGTTCAAACATAAATACTACACGGCTGTTAGTGGCTTGATGCTTTAGAGTAAAATGGATAAAGGACAGTCTACCTCCTCAAAGGTCATCAATCATGAATGAATGGCTGATATGTCTCGCTATGCACCAGGAGGTCAACAACTCCCATGCCTTTCAGTGTCTGTCTACTGATAATTACTGAACAGATATGTTCAAAAAAACTTATTTAACAAGCATAGCTGGAGTCTCGATACCAGCACTCCATCATCTTGGTTGATATGTAGTGACACCTTGCAATGAAATTACCAAAACCTTAAACGCAGTCAGACTTGTTGTTTACATGTGACTTGTTTACACCCCACACAATCTAAGCAATACTTTAATGTGGCACGTATTGTACTCATATGCTTTCTTGGATCGGGTTCAAATCTAACATGAGTGTTATTTTGATAACAATATTAAGTGTACTGGTGTGTCTGTGGCTTACAATTGCAAACAACACCATTTACAAAATAACGCACTTTTTTTTACAGTACATTAAAACACAAATCCAACACGTTTTCAACTGTATCTTGTAGTCTTCAATGTAAACAACAACCTATGATTTGCTATGCATTACTCGCCTATGAGCTAGATAGCTAATTATCAGATTAGCCGGCATTAGCTAGTACAGTCACTGGGCTTATAAAAACGAAAGCAGAATAAAAAGTAAAAGGTGCACTTATCTAATCAGATGACTAGGCTATAGTAAAATCAAAGCACCTTGATAAGACGACTATACAATCACTGTTGAGACCTAAGCGGCCTGCTATTTCCAGCTAGCGTTAGCTTCCTGAAGTGAGCTCTACGGAAGGCCCGAGTTCAACCCGCGGCATGGCGTTGGTCCTGAGGCCGAGCGAAAGCGCCGTGGTTTCGGCTTTCACCTGCGCCAACGAGTCGGTCCTTCGGAGGTAGCTAGCTAACCAGCTATGTCTGCAAGGTGAAATGCCAGCATGACTACAACTGCATGCGAAGATATGGAGGACGAAATGGTCGAGATAGTGTCAGCCAATACGAATTTCAGCTCGATATATATCCCCAGACTCTCGTTTTAGTGCAAATGTCTAAACACTAAAGCTGCATGTTAGCCAGCTAGCTAGAATACAATCCAGTAAAAAGCTCCACCTCAGGTCCTGATTTCCCCTAAAAACAATTCAGTGGTAAACTCCGAGGGTTGGTTCTCTCTGTCTTGGTCTGCCAGAAGTATCAGGGGTTGTCGTTGCATATATGTATATATGTTTTTCTTTTTGTTTAATCCTTAGTTCTTGGAATAATGATCTCTGCTGTGTTGTTATCCTGATGTCTTGACTGGCTGCTGATCCACCACCATGTTCTCAATGATCATACGGACAAACAGCGCAACAGCGGCCTCGTCTGGATGGACTGCGGTACTGCAGGACGTTGGCCACAAAGATAGCCTGCAGTAAACATTTTTACTTTCATTACTTTTGTTTATAAAAATATGTATTATGTTATATTTTGTATGTATCTTTTGCTTTATTTCATTCTTAAATTGAGCCCCTGTCACGAAACATAATTCCCCCCCAGGAGAAATTAAGTATTCTGATTCAGATTCAAATTAAAAGAGAAAGTCTACAGGTCTTATTTAGAGGATTTATAAAAAAAATCTGCTTTGTTCAGTTTTATTTTTAAATGGCAGGAAAAATCTTCATGTAAAATTAAGACTATATGAATATTAAGAGAATCCATGTAAACCCTGTGTATGCTTTGCATTCACATGTTTGATGTCCTTTTTCATATTGTGTATAGCCTAATTCTTATTCCTGTTGCACAATTTGTGTAACAATAATTGAAAGCGCCTTCAAAAGGCACAATGCAAATTAACAAAAAAACAGTGTTTATTTGATCATTTTATCTCAATAACCTCTTTGGACTGCATAAAGTGTTCTTTAATTGTATTTTTAAATCAGAATTTATTACGTTTTTGAGTCTGGTTGTGCTAAATAAATTCCCAATTTTGGATCAAAAAAGTATATCTATCTTATAAGAAGCGGATGGTACAGCAGCAACATGACATCATCAGTCATATTTTGGTTTAGTCTCTCAGAGTAAAGGGGTTTGGCATATATATATATATTACATTACGTAATATGAGAAGATTTGCAATGACCCTGTACAGAGGCTTGGAAAGGGGTTTCAACACTTTACCAAATATGGCCAATACGGGGCGTGGGATCCATTCTGCTGCTGAGACTGGTATGAGTGGAGGAGAGATGCGCGGTTTAACAAGGAACTTAAGCTTTAAAACAATAACCTGAAAGACAACTCCGAGCCAATAAAGTCGGTAAGTTGAATCTTTAGACTTCCTTTCCGTCAGATGTTCGGCAGAGTAGAAGTTTTCAGGGTTTATTATTGTCTATTATAGGAGAAGCGAGCTGATATCAACGGCTGGGCGCGGTATGTCCGCTATTTGGAACGGAAAGCCTCTTTAAGTGCCGGCTATATTAGGCTTTTTTTTATCCCTACAAGTAAACGTATCTCATCTTGTTTTATTATAACGCTGCTATGTCTTACTACGGTCTGGATTCGCTTAAAACATGATTAAAAAAGAAAGAATGTAAAATAGTTGTGGTATGTTACTTTTAAGAAGCTGTGCATGTTCCCAAATCTCAAGCTAACTATAGCCTATAACATTTAAACTACAGTGATACAGGGTAGCATTCAGGATGGTTTATATAAGATCCAACTCTCAGGCATGCATGGTATGTAGGCCTATGCATACTATCAAACCAAAAAATACACACCAAAGTCTGGTTTCCTGTTGGCAGGGCATGAGGCCACACAACCACTGTTCTAATTTATCTCAGGTATAAACCACAATCTCTCTCAGAAAGGAAACTGGGTGACCAAGTTAGTTTTAACTCATATATTTCACCATAAATCGAAATACAAGGGATGTGGTAAAGAAGATGTAAGGTTGATTTTTTTAAATGATCTATCAATATGTGGGCTGTATTTTTTGAACTTCTTGATTCCTAAAGTGATTAAAAGCATTTGGATTGTTTTGCTAGTGTGGGTTCCTGCAGATGTGCCATTAGCTCAGAGCTGCGTCCTGTGTATGATGACGAGTCATTAATAGAACAGGAAGCGTGGTAATGGAGTTAATGGCTAAAACACAAATTAGGTTTGCAATTTTCAAGTTAGACAGTAGGAACGAAGCTAATTTCTCTTTGAACAATGCACCGGCCTTGGACCTGTTGATTTGCACTCATGGCTTTTCAAGGTTATGTCTAACGGTCTGCATGTGAATCTCCATCACCAGGCCGAGATCAGTCTGTTAGATGCAACATTTAAAGTACTGCAACTCAGATTTGGCAGGGGCCTGGAGTCCCTGCAACAAAAGGCACATTGCCTCCCTTCAATATTCCTTGAAAGCAAAAATAATTGTTACCACGTGTTAGAAAAAGCCCAATTCTTCTCCAAACGTTGAAAGAAAGCTCCCGCCCCTTTTGGAGGTTTCGCCCCCTTTTTCCCATTTTTTGACATTTTCCCTATGTCACCTTATCTTATAAACACCTGGGAACTAGACAGCAGTTTGATCTTTAAACAGCACGTGGGGCACAGTCGAAAGATAAAAATGGGTTTATTTTATTGATATGAAGCATGTTTCTGTGACAGGAAAATTCAGCCATCATGTCTGTGCATGACTATGGAAAACCTCATGCTGTTGGCTCTACCCTAAAACAACCTGATGCAGATTTATTTGTGCTTTGTATTAATGATATCTATGAAAAAGCAGGTGGCTCCTCATTGGCAACAATAAGACATTCTATCACTTTAAATGTCCTTCAAAGCTACTTCAGTTCACCCCTTTTCAAATGTTATTGCAGCTCTCAGGCCTGTTTAACCTTGCCTATCTTGTACACACTGTAATGCTGTCTGAGGGAGAAAAAAAAACTTCACTTAAACCACACTTGAGGTCACCAATATCAAACTGTAAGTGCACACTGGAGTTTACTCATACTTCGCATTTACTCTAAGGGACTTTCCAGCTCCTTTGCAGACACACTTCCACTTCCTGTATACTTTATCTGCACAGGTTACAGCTTGAACAGCTCTTGCATTCTTCAGCTTTTACAGGGCTTGAGTTTAAGTTTGCAAGGACATGTGAGGAAGGGATGAACGATTCCAGAGACCATTGCAAATCTGTCATACTTATATACAAGTTAAAGGAACAAACAAACAACCAAAATTGAGTAACATTGGTGGAGCAGTAGGCTACCTGTTTATTGCACATCTTGGGCAAGATTGAAATATTGTGTATTTTTTTGTCCTTTTTTGGTAAATTATAGTCTTTTTACCATGATTTCTGATTGTTACAATTTAACTTTTCCCATGTTCTCTATTGTTGATATCAATGTGTGTTTTGGTGTATTTGGCCATTAGCATGTCTTCCTCACTTTGTTTCACTGCCGTCAAGTCTGAAATAATTAAGCAAACAAGGTTTTTAAAATCAAATACAAATTGGCTTAAACTTAATCAAATCACTCTCTTTTTTGTCTTTCTGCAGAATATGTAACAACATCTACAGAGTGTGACAAGCAGCCAACACAAGAGCTAAAATTCAGTATTAAAGACTCACCTTCAAGAAGCCGCTCTCCATTCCTGACTGACGTGACGTCCCATAATGCCACTCATCGTGCTCCCCACCTCCCAGCGGCTATGGGTGCGCGTAGCCGCCCTGCTGTTCACCTGCGTGGCGTTCAGTGTTGCATCACACGGCGGCAATCTGTACCACGGCGGCATGTCTGACTGGTGCATCTTCTGCTGGGCGTTCAGCTTCGCCTGCACCCTGCTGGTCCTGCTGGTTGAGGTGTTCGGCCTCCAGGCTCGCATCCCGGTGTCCTGGACCAATTTTCCAATCACCGTGGCCTGCTACGCCTCCCTCCTCTGCCTCTCGGCTTCCGTCATCTTCCCGCTTTTTTTCCTCAAGGACCAGCGATTGAATGGCGAGGTTCGCGGCCATCGCATCGCCGCCACCGTCTTCTCCTGTCTGGCGGCGGTGGCCTACATGGGGGAGGTGAGCCTGACTAAAGCGAGGCCGGGAGAGGTGGCGGGGTACATGGCGACCGCTCCCGGCCTGTTGAAGGTGTGCCAGACATTCGTTGCCTGTATCATCTTCATCCTGATCAGCGACCCCGTTTCGTACGACCGCCACGCCGCGCTCAAGTGGTGCATGGCGGTGTACTGCATCTGCTTCATCCTCTCCATGGCCGTGGTGGTGCTGTGTGTAGGCGAGTGCACCGGCTGGCTCCCAATCCCCTTCTCCAAGTTCCTGTCTGCTTACGGGCTCCTGGCGGTTATCATGTACTTGACGGCTACCATCATCTGGCCCGTGTTCCAGTTTGACAAACAGTACCACCATGGAGGCCAACCGTCGTCGAAACTCATCGCAGTTGCCGTGCTCACTGCCCTCAACTTCCTGCTTTACCTCGCTGACCTGGCCTACACCGCCAGACTAGTGTTTGTCAGCGCCTGAAAAGAAAAGAGATAAAGAGGGACACATTCGGTGACATAAAGCAGAATTTAAGATGCTAAAAGCTTGTGTGGCCTTTTCGAAAAAAAATATTGCATTTCTGACAAAAAATGCAAAACCTTTCCGTTTGGTGTCTAATGTAAAATGCTGAAATGCAATGTCCCGTTTGTATAAAACTCACCTACATTATGTATATATTTACATTTTTGCAGCGCTTTACCTTGAATGTGAATTGACCTCTACTAAATGTGCAACACAAGTATATAGAGGAAAAGTGGGATTTGACAAAATGCGTGGCAAAAAAAAAGTTGTAATGCTGGTAAAATCCAACAACGTCATCACACTGGAACAGCATAAGAGACATTTTTGAGGGAGATACATTTATTATTTGCTTTATTACACAGGCACTTCCTTGCATTACACCCTCACTAAGATTTGTTCACATTCTTCTTATTATATTTTGTTAATATAAGCTTTTTTTCAAGCATCAGTTTTTAAAGATTTGAAAGAATGTCATTTGAGCAAATGAAGTTTTTAGATGAACAAATATATTGATTATTTTTGAAGCACGCTATGAAATGTGATGAGATTGTGGTTACAATATGTGCCATGGCTTGAACATTGCAGCAATGAAGACTTGATATCCACCGCTTATTTTCTTTATTGATCGCTTGGTTTCCAAAATAAAATAAAATAGTGAAAAAGGTCCATCCAATTTCCTCAAATTTCCAGGTGTTTTTCATATCTTGTGTCTGAATATGCTAATGAAGCTATGAGTGCTTCCTGGTGTTAAGAAGCACTATCAATGCTATCAATCAATCAATCAATGTTTATTTATATAGCCCAATATCACAAATGTTACATTTGTCTCAGTGGTCTTCACAGTTTGTACAGAATATCAGTATGACAATACAACACCCTCTGTCCTTAGACCCTCTGTCCTTAGACCCTCTGTCCTTAGACCCTCACCTCGTACAAGGAAACACTTCCAGAGAAAACCCACAAGTTTAAGGGAAAAATAGGGAGAAACCTCAGGGAGAGCAACAGAGGAGGGAGTCCCTCTCCCATTAGTAGTTAGTTGTTAGTAGTTAGTGAGTTTAGTTACAAATTAAAAATATATCGGTTATAAGTGTTTACAAAGATAAACAGAGTCACCAATAGAAGTGTCAAAATGTCTTATATCATCTGTTTAGAATTGTGGAGACAGAGACTGGAGAGACAGAATTGTGAGACAGAGAAATCTAGGAGATGAAAAGCAGATATACCTTGGAAGAGGTCATCTATTATGGAGTGATCAAATTTCCCTATTTTACCCTCTATATGAGTCACTCTAAACGTTAGTCTCCTCACACTAGGGAAGAAACGGGTCCTGCCTAGTCTGCACGTTATCTACGGCACCACATTTTAACTTTTCTATTATGTAAACGTTGTATCCATCAGGTTTACAAACCTTTTGACGTTACACGCATATTATCCTTGCTACTTAGGTGCTCCCTATAGTAGGTCCTTGAATACTAGGTCCTGGTCGTCCGAGTTCTAGGTCGCTAGCGCTAGGTACCTGTGTCCTGGTGTCGTTGTCGTGTGTGTGCTAGTTCTAGGTCCCGAGCGCTAGGTAGTGTGTCCTGGCGTCGGTTGTCCTAGTAGGTACTGAGGCCTTAGGGCCGCATATATCTGTGGTTTTTCCTTTCTGTAAACCCGCTTCGACCCAATTAGCCTTGTACTCTCATGTGTCCATATCTGTCTCCTTCCTTCTTCATTCTACAGGGGGCTGTTTGATTCGGTACATAGTCGTTTTGATCCCGACTTAGATTAGTCGGGATTGATATTCGAAATAGTTTTTCCTTCCAGAATTCGCGTGAGAATTTTTGGTTTAGTAGCCACAGGACGGCGGGGCTTGTGGTTTGACCTTCGACTAAGGTGTTTTCTACCCTCGAAACTAATTCTTTTCCGAGACCGAGGGTAACATGAAAATCTTCAGATCCTTGTTGGTTGTTGGGACGTAAGAACCTTGCGGGTTGACGGGATCATCCTTGTCATCCCATATTACTAAGAAATTCCATTCTACCGCGGACGGGTAACTCCCGAAACATCCGCCTTCTTCTTAAAATTTAAGATAGAACACACCCTCGGTCACTTTCGTGATTACGCATAATATGTAAATCAAATACCACCTCGAAAAACGTACCTTTGTTGGTTTTTTGTGTTTACACTCTTCATATCAATTAACTACCTACTTGTAATTTCACATTTATCCTTTTAACAGTATAACGCTCTTTTTGACTTTAGGATCTCCTTGTCCTCTACCTTTAACCACATGAGTCTAAGTGCCTTAGAGTGTATCGGTGTTGTTATTTTGAAATGACTTCGCAAACTTGTTATACGTTCTCAACAGGAATTGAATAACGCTGTTCGAGTTACTTCCTTGTGTGTGAACTCCTCAAACATGTTTGTCCTTAGTAGAACATTTCCCAGTCAAACTTATTATTCCCATACTCCTTGTTGGTCTTTCTGTTATCGATTCTTTTATAGTGAGAATTTCAACGATTTATTAACGACACACACACACACACACACACACACACACAACCACACAAACACAACACACACACACACACAACACACACACACACACACACACACACACACACACACACACCACACCACACACACACACAGACACACACACCCCACACACACACACACACACACGGTACGTACACACACACCAGCACACACACACACACACACAACCACACACACACACACCACACACACACAACACACACACACACACACACACACACACACACACACCACACACACACACACACCACACACGTTTGACAACACGGGTTACGATTAAATTGTTATCACAAACGTGATATCAGCGAAGCTCCTTACACCATCTCAATGTAATCCTCGACATTTTCAAATTTGTTCCAAAAGACCCATTTTTTGGTGTATTGTGACCGTTATGTCCTTTGATATGGAGATGTGAGGTCGTCAGAGTAGGAAGACTGACAATATCAACACGTCTCGATGATAGTAAAAAACTGTTGTACCTCCCATTCAATTAGTCAATAAAGACGCAACCTTATACTTGTGCCGTGTTTTCAACGTTCTACGTCTGTACATTTACTTATTTACGAACCAAACTTTATAAATAAGAAGAATAGCACAGGTGTTTGGTACGTTGGAGGACTAATACGGGGGACGACCTCGCGTTGGGACGTGTTGTTAGCCTGGGGGGGGGAAACCGTCTCAAATTACTCTTCCCTGTCGTTACACAAGTCGACACCGACTTGGTTGTAGATTGGTTCGGGGACCATTGACTGACGGAACACCGTGTGCTATTCTTCTTCTTATAAAGTTGGGTTGTAGAATAGTCAGAATGTCACAGGACGTAGAACGTTGAATAACACGGCACAAGTATAAAGGTTGTCTTTATTGACTTAATTGAATGGGAGGTACAACAGGTTTTTACTTCATTGAGACGTCGTTGATATTTCCTAGTCTTCCTACTCTGGGACGACCTCACATCTCATATCAAAGGACATAACGGTCCACACACAAAAAAATGGGTCTTTTGGAACAAATTGAAAAATGTCGAGGATTACATTGAGATGGGTAATTTTCGAGTCTTTCGTGATATCACGTTGTGATAACATTTAATCGTTAAACCCGTGTTGTCAAGGTGTGTGTGTGGTGGTTGTGTGTGTTGTGTGTGGTGTGTGTGTGTGTGTGTGTGTGTGGGTGTGTGTGTGTGTGTGTTGTGTGTGTGTGTGTGTGTGGTGTGTGTGTGTGTGTGTGTGTGTACGTACGTGTGTGTGTGTGTGTTGTGTGTGTGTGTGTCTGTGGTGTGTGTGGGGGTGTGTGTGTGTGTGTGGTGTGTGTGTGTGTGTGTGTGTGTGTGTGTGTGTGTTGTGTGTGTGTGTGTGTGTGTGTGTGTGTGTGTGTGTGTGTGTGTGGTGTGTCGTTAATTAATCGTGAATTCTTCACTATAAAAGAATCGATAACAGGAAAGACCAACAAGGAGTATGAATAATAAGTTGACTGGGAAAATGTTCACCTAAGACAACATGTTTTGAGAGTCTCACACACAGGAAGTAACTCGAAACAGCGTTATTCAATTCTGTTGAGAACGGTATAAAGTTTGCAGAAGTCATTTCAAATTAACAACACGATACACTTAAGCATTAGACTCCATTGTTGGTTAAGGGTCAGAGGGACAAGGAGGGATCCTAAAGTCAAAAAGAGCGTTATACTGTTAAAAGGATAAACTGGTGAAATTACTAAGTAGGTAGTTATTATATGACGGTGTAAACACAAAACCAACAAAGGTACGTTTTCGAGGTGTATTTATTTAATATTATGGTAATCACGAAAGGTGAGCCGGAGCGGTGTGTTTCTATCTTAAATTTTAAGAAGAAGAGCGGGTTTGGGAGTTACCCGTCCGCGGTAGAATGGAATTTCTTGAGTAATATGGGGATGACAGGATGATCCCGGTAACGCAAGGTTCTTACGTCCCAACAACCAACAAGGATCTGAAAGATCTTCATGTTCACCCTTCGGTCTCGAAAAGGAAATAGTCGAGGGTGAAAACACCTTAGTCGAAGGTCAAACACAAGCCCGCCGTCTGTGGTATAAACAAAATTCCACGGCGAATTCTGGAAGGAAAAACTATTTCGAATATCAATCCCGACTAATCTAAGTCGGGGGATCAAAAACGACTATTCCGAATCAAACAGCCCCCTGTAGAATGAAGAAGGAAGAGAGGACAGATATGGACACATGAGAGGTACAAGGCTAATTGGGCGAAGGGGTTTACAGAAAGAAAACCACAGATATATGCGGCCCTAGGCCTCAGTACCTACTAGGACAACGACGCCAGGACACCTACCTAGCGCTCGGGACCTAGAACTCAAGCACCGACACGGACAACGACACAGGACACAGTACCTAGCGCTCAGGACCTAAACTCAAGCACCGACACCAGGACCTAGGTATTCAGGACCTACCTATAGAGCACCTAAGTAGAAGGAATAATATGCGTGTACGTAAAGGTTTTGTAAACCTGATCGGATACAACGTTTACATAAATAAGAAAAGTTTAAATGTTGCCGTAGATAACGTGCNAGACTGAATCTGCAATAGGTAAGCAGCTTGGTGTGAAGAAATCAACTGTGGGAGCAATTATTAGAAAATGGAAGACATACAAGACCACTGATAATCTCCCTCGATCTGGGGCTCCACGCAAGATCTCACCCCGTGGGGTCAAAATGATCACAAGAACGGTGAGCAAAAATCCCAGAACCACACGGGGGGACCTAGTCAATGACCTGCAGAGAGCTGGGACCAAAGTAACAAAGGCTACCATCAGTAACACACTACGCCGCCAGGGACTCAAATCCTGCAGTGCCAGACGTGTCCCCCTGCTTAAGCCAGTACATGTCCAGGCCCGTCTGAAGTTTGCTAGAGAGCATTTAGATGATCCAGAAGAGGATTGGGAGAATGTCATATGATCAGATGAAACCAAAATATAACTTTTTGGTAAAAACTCAACTAGACGTGTTTGGAGGAGAAAGAATGCTGAGTTGAGGAGAAAGAACACCATACCTACTGTGAAACATGGGGGTGGAAACATCATGCTTTGGGGCTGTTTTTCTGCAAAGGGACCAGGACGACTGATCCGTGTAAAGGAAAGAATGAATTGGGCCATGTATCGTGAGATTTTGAGTAACAACCTCCTTCCATCAACAAGGGCATTGAAGATGAAATGTGGCTGGGTCTTTCAGCATGACAATGATCCCAAACACACCGCCCGGGCAACGAAGGAGTGGCTTCGTAAGAAGCATTTCAAGGTCCTGTAGTGGCCTAGCCAGTCTCCAGATCTCAACCCCATAGAAAATCTTTGGAGGGAGTTGAAAGTCTGTGTTGCCCAGCGACAGCCCCAAAACATCACTGCTCTAGAGGAGATCTGCATGGAGGAATGGACCAAAATACCAGCAACAGTGTGTGAAAACCTTGTGAAGACTTACAGAAAACGTTTGACCTCTGTCATTGCCAGCAAAGGGTGTATAACAAAGTATTGAGATGAACTTTTGTTATTGACCAAATACTTATTTTCCACCATAATTTGCAAATAAATTCTTTAAAAATCAGACAATGTAATTTCTGGATTTTATTTTCTCATTTTGTCCCTCATAGTCGAGGTATACCTAGGATAAAAATTACAGGCCTCTCTCATCTTTTTAAGTGGGAGAACTTGCACAATTGGTGGCTGACTAAATACTTTTTTGCCCCACTGTAGCTACTTGCTTAAGGTTTCTACACGCATAAAGGATGCATCAGTGTTTTTGTAATTATAAGTAATGACCTCTTATAGAACTATTCTTATAGAATTTTCAAATCATAAATCTGTCGATTAGATTTATGATTCGAAAATTATAAAAGTAGGGTAGACATGTGGAGATTATCTGGCTGAACAAAACGTGATCCGTCTCTTAAATGTGTGTCAACCACAGACCTTATTTCGAGCTATTTTCCAAAATCCTATGGAGAGATTGCGTTGCTTTTTTGTCAAAGGAACCCATGCACAGCTTACTTCCGTGTTTTAGGACGCATCACTGTGGCACTCTATAGGCGCGATCCGAAATCAGTGTTTAATCTGTGATGGAAATCTTGCCTGAAACCTGCAAAATGTCTTAAAAACACAAAAAATAAATTCAACATCCTTTTAATACTAGAAGAAAATAAAAGTATTCTATCATTGAAATCGACGGTTTTATTCATGTAAATGCACGTCCTCTACATTAGTGTGTGCTACAGACCTGAGAAAATGGGGATGAACCACAAATCGGGTCACGTTAGAATCTGTTGTCCTTGTTCAAATATATAAATAAATGACTCCAGAGAGGTGGCTACTGTTTTTGTGTCGTGCTCCTGCTGTAGTCTTTGGTTCCCTGTGAGAGGAACTGGTGGGTTTTTAGAAAGGGTGACCTAGATTCATCCCAGCATGCAGCAGCCTCTGTGGGCCTGCAGGGGGCACTGTTGAAGCACACACTGTCGTCTCACTGTACCGCCTGTGCTGTGCTGCATGAGAGACCGCCTCGGAATACCAATGAAGGGTTTTTTCAGCTCAGCTTCTCTCTTGTTATCTCCCCTTCTCTCTCTCCCTCCATCTCCATCTAATTCTTTCCCTCTCATTTTCTTATCGCTCTCTTTGCATCCACATCCACCTGTTTTTCGTCCTTGGTTCTTATTTTCGGTCCTTTTCTCCTGTCTATCTCTTCCCCTCACTGCCTTTGTCGCTGTTTGAGTTGAGGGCTGTCAGCAGCAGCAGGTCTGAGCTGTGCAGTCATTTGTCACACCACTGAGGGGAAGAAACATCCTTTATTGATGCTGCCCCCTCCTCTCTTGTAATGTGTCTCCCTGTCTCAGGTCCTTTGGTGTTCGCCCTCTTCACAACAGTTGTCCCTGTTCCCAACTTTTCCTCTCTTTTTTTCTCCTAAAATCCCCATTTGGCCAGTTTTTTCCGTAGCGTTCAGTTTCCCAAAATGTCAGACCGTTATCCTACATGAGGTGGCAACTTTTCAATACGCCCACATGCTGGGTGACATGAGAGGGTCTTTACCTGACCTTGACGTCTCCCTGTATTATTATGAAGCAGGACTTGACCTTGAGCTTTAGCAGATGTGCATGTAGCGCGGCTATTAGATACCTGGATTTGAACCAGGTAGGATGAGCTGTTGTTTATCAAACATGAAATTCAGCTCAATAAACATAAATCATTCTGCAGGGGCTATTTAGGTGGCAGACTTTGAAGAATGGCCCGCACCCCCTTCACAAAACAAAATCGATCAAGATTTATTTTTCTCACCTCATTACACATCTGTGAGGTTTGAAAAAAAAGAAAAGAAAAAACACAGACACAGTTTCTGCTCCATGAAACACTAAATATACAAAGGCCAATGCAGCAAAAATAAATAAAACACTCAAGAAATAAAACACAGTTTGCATTAAAAAAGACAATGAATATGCTCAAAATAATGTAAGCATAAGTTGATACCAAGAATACTTCAGTATTGCTCTATTTTTGCACATTTTCATTTGACGAATGGGCAGTACACCTTTTTAATGTATTTTAAAAAGCAGTGAAACTAAAGATTTTCATTCTCGTCGCGTCAGCGCATTTGAATTTGTCTTCATGTCATTGTTCAGTGTGCCTCCATGTTACAGACGCTAGGGTTTCTTTTTGGAAGCCGTGGGATAATTCTGTCCCCTTAACGCAGGCAGGCAGCAAAGTGTGAAAACTCAGTTATTTTTCTCCTCAGATAACGCCACAGAGAAGACCTACATTTTGATGGAAGCCAGGCTGGGAGCTCTGTTTAAGTTGGAGAGCGAGTACACTATCCTGGACAAGTAAGCACACAAAAACCTATAGCAAAAAAAAAAACGTAAAGAATGAGTACCTTAACACTAGAACCGCCAACGGGTACATTTTACCCGCAGCTGTTTTTTGATTGTATGTAACTTTTTTTCAATAAAATATTAAAGTTTCCCAGTCCGTGACTTTTCCTGAAAGTGTGTTATGTAGCACCCTCTATTGTTAACAATTGTCAATATGAAGTCAGATTGAAAAAATCGCCAAAAAACAAGCCATTTATACCCATATCCGCCAGCGGGTAATATTTACCTCATAGAAAATGCAGCGTAAACATGACGTGTTGCTATAGCAACGCCTTTTGTCGACTGCGGTTCCTTATAGATAGAGAGAGAGAGAGATAGATAGATATATTGATAGATGGAAAGAGAGAGAGATAGACAGATAGATAGTTATAGATAGTGTAACATCTTGGAGAATACAAGATCCTTGGATGAGCTGAAGCCCTGCACGTTGAGGACGTA